ATTGACTCTTTTTGGTATTCTGGAATTTCAGTTGTTTTAGGTTGTTTAGGTTCTCCTTGGATGGTTTTGGTTTGAGATTCTAATGAGAGTTGTCTTTTAGTTTTGCTTACTAAATTATTCACCTTGTTGGTTAATTCATTGCCTGCTATGCTTACGGTGCTTATAGCTTGCGAACCTTGATCTATTTGCTTTCCGGAGAGATTGAGGTTATCAGTCTTGGTAAAATCATCAGTTTTTAAGTTAAGTAAAAGACTATTTTCGCAATCATCAACTCTATCGTTTTTAATTCCTTCAATCATGCTTGCTAGAGTTATTCTCTTGCCAGGATTGACTTTTCAGCACTGCTGAATTATATTTTGAATGCTTTGAGGAGCATCATCAGGAATGGTTTCTTTTCCTCCACCGATAATATGAAATTGTAAATCATCGATTCTTTTAATGTCTTTAAAAGGCGTAGTGCATTTAGTAGCAACTTCTCAAATAACCATACCTAAAGCATAGATGTCAGATTGTTCAGAATATTTTTGTTCCTTTAAAACTTCTGGTGCCATTCATCTTAGACTGCCTCCTGTGCTGTTAGATTTTAAAGCACTAATGTCTTTAATAGATAATCCAAAGTCCGCTATTTTAGTTTGATTACCAGCTGTCATTAACACATTTAAACTTTTTAAATCTCGGTGGATAATGCCTTTATGATGAATGTAAGCTAGTCCGGAAGCTATTTGTCTAATTATATTAGTATTAAGCTTCCAATTCTGTTCCTTAATATTTTTAATAAAGTCAGCCAAGGTGCCATTCTTGGCATGCTCCATAATGATTAAAATCTCTTTATTGTCATAATAAACTCCGTAGTATTGGATGATGTTGCGGTCTTTTAGTTTTTTAAGAGTGTTAATCTCGTTCTTGATTTCTTTTCTTTTGGTTTCATCATCCAAAAGTAACTTTTTAACTGCTACGTCTCGTTCTTTATGTTTACCTCGATAAACTTTGCTATAACCACCTTCGCCAATTTTATCTTTTTCTTCAAAAATAGGTTTTTCAGTTGTGGAAAAAACTTTATCACTTTCTTCGGTTAGTTCTTCTATAATATTAACAAGTTGTTTAGTAATTAGTTGAGTTTGATTAGCAATAAATTGTTGAGAATTATACATACTAGAAGCACTATCTCTAAATTGTATTAGTGAAGTAGTTTGCACAGGAGCAGTGCTGTTTATTCGATGAATCATTTGTTTTTGGTTTTCTAAGAGCAATTGCTTAGCATTAAGTTTTTCTTCTAATTCTAGCTCCCAAGCTACTAATTTCTCGCAATCCGCAAGAGAAGCTTCAATTTCTTCTTCGAGACTATCTTCCCAATAATGCTTCTAATTCGTCACGGATTTTATCCCGTTGACGGCGAAGAGATACCGACGGCAAACTTTGGTTTTTGGCTTTAGTGTATTCTAAATGAGCAACAATTAAGCTTTGTATTAACTCTATTTCTTTTTCCTTATCTGGTAAAAGTCGTCTAAAAATACCAACTATTTTTTCTTTTTTTTGTTTGATTAAATTGGTAAGTTCTTGCACCCGAGTTTCTAAATAATTTGTTTCTTTTGCTTGATCTTTCAATTTTTTTATTTTTTCTAATGCTTCTTTTCCTTCTTCACTTATGCTTGGGTTAGCCGCAATTATTGCTTCTAGTTCTTTAGTTAGTTCTTTGGATTTTTCTAAAAAGCGGTTGATTAATTCTAAACTTTTATTTTGTTGGGGAATTAACTGAGAATTTTGTAACAGTTGAGTAATTTCCTTAGTAGGTAAAAGTTTGCTGTGATAAGAAGCTTCAGAATGAATTTTTACCTTTGGAGTTAATAGTTGTCTTAATAATTGGTCAAACTCTTTTTCTGAATCTTCTTTATAATTATTTCTCTTGTAAAATTCCAAAAACAGTTCTTGTTTTATTTCCTTTAGTTCTTTTTCTCTCATTTTTGAACTTATTTCTTTAGTTTCGCCTTTATATTGTTCATATAGTTTAGAAAGTGCTAGGCAAGTATTATATTTTTCGGCTGCCCGGAGTTGTTTTTTAAATTCTGAAATCTTATTGCCACTAATTTCTTGTTCTCAACTTCTTAAAGTTCTTTCTAACTCATTGGCAGCTGGTCTTTTGCTTGGGTTAGTATCTCAACATCTTTTTATTAAGTCTTCTAATAATGGAGGAATTTTAATCTGAAACTTTGGCCTTATCCCTTGGCATATCTTTAAAGCCAGACCTATATCAT